TTTTTTTTTTCAATAATGGCTTCATTTAAAAATGATATTTCAGGCTTAAAGAAGCCAACTTGGAGAATAACTTTGAGTCTCCTGCTTGGGAACTGCATCGTTAAAACTGTATCAGGCTGTATTTTTAATAAATAATAATATTATAAATGTAGTTTTGTTAGGATGAATTTGTAAGATTCCATGGCTCTTGAGATCTGTGGATTTTTTATTGGTAGCAATTCAACTCTCTGTGCATCTAGTTTGCTAGGAAATAAAATGATTATTTTTTATCAAATAGATAGCCATATTTTTTATTTTATTCCTCATATTTGTTGTATTGTTTGGATTGTTTTAAATTTAATTTAAGCAATTTGCTAAGTTTAAATTGGAGTATGAACTTAGCAGATGCCTTTTTTCTTTGTTTGAATTTATATTTGGAGCTTTTACATACAAAACAACTAGTTCTTATGAATTTGCCTATTTAACACTTAAATTTTACTATTTATATTTATACGATTCAAATCTTTCATATCATATAAAAAATACTATTGTTTTCTCTTTTAAAAAATGAAAGACACATCGTCAGATTAAGCGCTATTTTGACTCAGCTTGGTGAGCAGATGAGAAATTTTTTTGGATTTGACCCTTTTAACCATTGGGTGCAGTATGAGCTTCTTATAGCTATGAAAATTAATATTTTATTTCATCGGTAAAATATATGTGCCCGTTTTTCCGGGATCATAATTTTGTCCAAAAGTATGACATGAAAGCCACAACTAGGAACACTACTGATGACACCAATTTGTAGGTAGCTATGTAAATCTCTAGACCTATTATTTTTTCCTTATTATTAGAGCTCTGGGTGTGATGTTAGAGAAATTAGGGTTGGTTAATGTTAGAGAAAATTTAGGTTTCAAGTCCATTTCCCCCTCACATTGCCTTGGTTTTGAGTGTTTTCCCAAGCTTCGAGCTTAGTTTTAGTCTTGGCACCGCTCTTGGCGTCGACGTCATCCCAAAACTTTTGAACCAATGTTTAAGCATCATGCACACATGCCTGATGTTGTAGTTTGTGGTTGAAGTAGGCAATGTTGCTTGCCTTGGCTTTGTCGAATGTCGAAGTCATGTATATCAACCCGCGGTGTCAGCATTGCATGTGTGGTTGAAGCTGTCAAATATCAAAGTTCATGTGAAAACAGAGAATAAGAAGGAGAATCACAACTTTTCATAAAAAGGCTCATTGCTTTTGGTACAATAAAGAAATATAAAAAGTGGGGTGAGCTGTAGGTTGGTTAGAAGATGAGTGGCCAGGATTGAGATGTTGTAATTGGATGTTGGATCATCCTAAGTGTGATCCTCGGGTAGAGTAGTAAAGTAGGAACTTTTGGTAGGTACGGTAACACCCCCCCTCTTGTGTGTCAGTTTGGAGCAAATTTGTTTAAATTTAATGTTGGTGAGAGTCTTGGGTAAAGATATCAGGGGGGTGATCTTGAGTATTGATATGGTGGACGATGATGTGTTGTTGCTTGATGCAGTTCCAGAGAAAGTGACAATCTACCTCAATGTATTTAATGCGAGTATGGAAAACTTAGTTGTTGGCGAGAACAATGGCGGAGGTATTATCAGTTGAGATTATAATGTTCGTGAATCCATTAGAAGCCATTGAAGCCATATGATGTCCTACGCTGCCGATGCAAGGGCTTGATATTTTTCTTCGGTGGAGTGGGCGACAGTTGTTTTTTAGCAGACTAGGAGATAGGGGTTCGTCCAAGAAAGACACCATAGTCATAGGTGGATTTGCGATCAACAGGGTTTCTTGCCCAATCTGAGTCGAGATGGGAACGATGGATAGGAAGGCCTGTTGTTTTTGTTCCATTGATGTAACGAAGTATCCGTTTGAGTTGGAGGAGGTTATGCTGGCTTGGTGATTGCATGTGTTGGAAGGCAAGATTAACAACATAGGATATATCGGGAAGGGTTAGTGTGAGATGTTGAAGGGAGCCTACAAGTTGGCGGTATAGAGTGGGGTTGGGCATGGGGTTCAGGTAGGGTGAGATGGTGGATTGCTTGGAGGATCAAGGATTTTTGACAAATTTAGAGTTGAGCATGTCGGTGGTGAGGAGAATATTGGTGGCATAGTTGGTTTGAGATAGGTGTAGACCATAAGATGTTGGAGTAGCTTTGATGCCAAGGAAGAGGGAGAGAATTCCAAGTACTTTCATGTGGAATTGGATTTGGAGTTTTGTAGATGGTAGATTGAATGAGAAAGGGGTTGTTACTGTTGTCGACTTATATGAGCATGTATAGGTGATCAGAGTGGTTATGTAGACAAAATAGAGATGGATTAGTTGAGCTTGGTTGAAAACCAAATTTTTCGAGATATGTCGGTAGAGTGACGAACCGTTGGCATGGGGTTTGCTTTAGTCCATATAGGGCTTTCTTGAGTAGGCAAACGTGATTGGGATAAGTTGCATCGATGAATCTTGGAAGTTGGGACATGTAGATGGTTTCGGTGAGATGAAAGCATTACATACATCAAGTTGGAGGATTTGCTAATTGTGGGTGAGGCATAGTGTAATGAGAACTTGAATGGTTGGTAAATTAGCAGTTAGGCTGAATGTTTTAGTGTAATTGAAGCCATGTTTTTGGTCGAAACCTTGGGTGACCATGCGGACTTTGTAGCAAGAGATGGAGCCATCCACATTAAGTTTGGCGTGGAACTTCCATTTACAATCAAGGACGTTTTGGTTAGGAGGTAATGGAACTAGGGACCATGTTCCTTGAGAATGAAGGGCTTAAAATTTGGTGGACATAGCTTCTCACCAGTGGGAGTGGTTTATGGAAGAGGAGTAACATGTGGGTTGGGTGGTGGATTTGTGAGTGAGGTCAAGTATTTGATGGGTTCGAGTGAACTAGTTTTAAGTCGGATTTGCATCCAATGAGTTGATGTTGGTGGGGGAGGAGCAGTGGAGGTTGTAGTGGTTATGGGATATGTTTGAGAGGTTGAGTGATTGGAGAAATTAGATTTTCTTGACATGGTATGTTGTGGTGGATGGTGGAGTACAGCGAGGATGATGTTAGGAGGTTTGGTTGATGGTGTGGTGGTCGGGAGAGGAGGAGAGGTGGATGAAGGGGTTCATATGGGGTAGTTGGGGTTGGAATTCTGGGATAAGTTTTGAAGTTAAAGATTTGTTCATTAAAGAGGTGTCG